AGGAATGAGTAATAACCAGGGAAGCAGAGTCTTCTGAAGCAAAGGCCAGCTTGACTAAAAAGGCAACAGAACCATCATAGTTTGTAAAAGGAGAGAGAGGGAGGGGGAAATAGGGCAGCAGCCAGACATGGTTTGATATTGTGCCAAGTGGCCATGATACCACAAACTCCCTCCAGCCTGGACAGACTCTAGTGGGTGCCTGCACTCAGCCAGGGACTGTCCATGAGTGCTGTCACACAAGGATGTGTGTCTTAGCTTCTGTGTGGGATGTTTTTCAGACTGTGTGGATGACTGGGTGTTTGAGAGTGGCAGGAACTCACACAGTGCTGGAGCAACCATATATCCCCCATGGAGAATTGGGGAATGTCCTGCCCCTGCCATGGGGCTGCTAGTGACCCATGCAACCTGGAGATGGCTTGGTGCACACCTAGCTCTGTGTTTGTGTGATTAGAAATTCTGGAAGAATGTTTAGAAAATTGCAACTGTTTACTAAACTTTCTTAAGTGTCCAATATTGTAGCTTTTCTTACTGTAGCTTAGCTTATCACTGATAACCCTGAAAGTATAGCTCACTGACTGCTGGTTAGTTATTTCTCTAATTTAACAAATTACTAAGTTGCTTTGATACTAACTTGATTTAAACCCCATGAACAGAACAGCTTTTCCCCATGACAGGTTATTCTTAAAAAAAAAAAAAAAAAAAATTCTATGAGGAAACATAAAGGATTCTTAATTTGTTTTGGTGTATTACTTGCAATTAATGTTGCATCATTGTCCTACATTACTTTACTGAATGGAAAAAATGCTTCTTTAAGCTGAAGTTTCTGAAGTAACAGCTTTATTTATTTTTCTCTGACTCTATTAAGGAAAGCATTCTAGATGAGTGCTTTATGTTTAACATACTAGATTAGCAATAGCCAAGGAAGAAAAAGATTACAAATGGAAATTACAGTCTTTATAGTTGGTTTCCCATGATGCCACAGAAATCTTAGCAAGGGTCTAAACAAAACCCAACAAACTAATGGTGATATTTCCCTTTTACTATTTAAAAGTTATGCAGACAACCACAGTGACAAGTAGCAGGGCAGATACCCACAAAATCCACCCAGAGAATTTCCCTCTATCCAGTTCCATTGTTGTCTAGCAGTTGGAGACCATCTCTAAATCAGCATGCTGTGAAGACCTGCAAGGGTCCTCATGTCCACTGTACATATTTCATGTACTTTATTTTACTGTGACATAACTATTGTCTGGTTCCATGGGCTGAATGAATGACCACTGGTGGCCACAGTGCACACAGGGCAGGACACCTTCCAGCTGAGGCTCACCTTGAAGGGTCCAGCCTGTACTTTACAGAACCTCTCTGCAATGTGAAACAATGTGCAAAGCCTTGGTGACAATACTGAGGTTTTCTGTGGATATGCACTCTTAATCTGAATTAAAATACTAATGTGTACGCATACAGGTTCAAAATTATATTCTTCCAACCACAGAATTTCAATTGAACATACAAAGACTTAGGAAAAAAAGAAGATATTCAAGACCCTCGTCGAAACACCATTATGTTAAATACAGTAAATTATGACCTGAGAATTTTGGTTTCAGCCTTAGAGATAAAATACAGTCATCAGGAAACCTGTAGAAAATCAACAAGTTAGTGAATTTTGATCTATTTGTCTCCTCCTTTTTAAGCCTCTGCTGTATTTTCTGAGTTCACATTTCTTTTGTCTTTATGGCTCTTCATGACTGCTGCCTAGACTTGAACAGCCTGCTGCAATTTGTTTGGCAGGCAACTCACAAAGACTGATTTGTACAGCACCTGATCAGAACTATGAAATAGGCCATATAAATAAAATACAGGAGACTGTGCTTCAAAGCACAATCATGTCTTTTTTGTTTACATTTTTGAAATACCAGACTAGGGCTTTTTCAAAGCAAAGAGCAAATGGCAAGCAACTGCAGTCTTTGTATTTTCTAATACATTTTGTCTGTACATATCATATTTACCAGTGTAAAAGTGGACCTGCTGAAATCAAATGTTAAAGGGTTCAAATGGAAAGTGAAATCCACTGGGGATAACTGAGAACACAGAGACTACAGTTGGTTCAGGAAGACTCTGAGGTATAAATAGTTGGAGAATAAATGTGTATTAGAGGGAATTAGCATGTAAGTTTGTCCTATACTTACCCTTCCTTAATCATTCCTAAACATTCCCAACAGTGTTTGGAGACAGGACGACATCTTGGTTGTAATCCATATAACTATATACTCCTTTTTGTTTTGACTCTATGTGTAACTTTAACAGTACATTATTTTTACTTTAACATTATTTGTACTTTAACATTATTTGTACTTTAACAGTACAGTAATTTTACTGTAAAGATGGTGGGATGCAAGATGGAGTGATGGTGTCCTTGGCACATGTTTAGCAGAAAAAAAACACTGCTGAATTTTTCCTGCAGCATGATTGGCCCATGCAAAGCTGAGTAAGCATCAGTGCTGCACCTGAGACAGCTACCTAGAGACTAAGACAAATGGGAGGACTGTGGAGTGCCTATGTATGGGTCTGTGCAGAAATAATTTAACACAGATACTTCATCTTGAAAACAAAACAATAATGTTTTTCTTTCAGCTGCAAAACGGTTTGAAGTTTGCAGGTGCTACTGCCAAAGCACAATTTTTAATATTCAGAAACTTAAGAAGTAGTATGACCTGCAATTTTGAAGTAATGGTCACAAAGGTTAATTTCTGTGTGCTATGGCTACTTCCCCTACCCAGCTCCAAATAGCACTCATTTGAATTTTAACTCAGGTTATGATAAGTGAAGAGAAAGATGCAATGAAGACAACTCAGCTTATAGTTTTCATATGACTTCATAGAATATGTTAAAATGTAAAGGATAGCGATGTGTTTAAATTCAATTTTCTAACTCAGGCTTAAGAAAGAAAACAGTCTCTTATGATTCTACCTTGATGGATTCTTTCAAATTACTTCCACTGTGAAGGCAAAACCTAAATTTGTGCGTACGGAAAGAACATCTCATTACCACATGCAGTACAAAAGAATAGGTCAGAAAGGGTGAAGTGAGAATATTATTATTTGTTTCTATCTTGCTTCAGTACTGAAACCGGAAGTATGTTCTTTGCCAGTAAGGAGAATATCTAGTCTTAAATACAAAAAAAAAGTCTTTTGAAAATGTCCTTGATAATATATGTGTACTACAGCAATAGAATGAGAAAAGATAACAGGATATATTTTAACAAGATTTAAACCCTATTTTTATACATATTTCTAAACAGTGAAAAGCATCTTAGCATAAATTTACCAGAGCACCAGGGAGGTCGACAAGTTTCCTTCAGTTAAGCCATTATGACATTTCTACAAGGAAACAGTTTTAATGAATCTAATTGAAATTTGTACGTGACACCTTAACTGCTCTTAAATTTGCCTTGTTCATTGCAAAGTGCTCTGAAGCTGTTGTGCAATGAGGTTAGGCCAATGAACATTATCTAAAATATTAGAGATTTAAGATATTCTCACCATTCAATTCCATCTTCATTATTCATGATGAGTAGCACATAACTCTATATGATGCCACTGAAGTTGCTTTTGCCAGTTGTTATGTAGATTTAAAAAAATATAGTAAATTGATGACAGTAACCGAACACATTCACTGATCTACTGCCTTCTTACTTACTATTTATCCAAATACTCACAAGTTATCAAACAAAATACAATCAATAGAACAGCAGGTCCAATAAAATGGTTGCTGTTGAATACATTATAAACAGCCTGATTAAAACCAAAATAAACCAACCTAAAATCAAACAATTGCTTTAAGAATGTTATTGACAGGGAAGAGAAAAGGAAAGAAAGAAGTTGGGGGTGTGTTGGAGGAGAGACTGACACATATCTGGTGTACTCAGCCTATGATTTGAAAATATTTTATAATCACTTATCTAGATGGTGAAGTCCAAAGGCATTTCACAAGAAAAATGCACTATAACTATCCAGAAGGCAGTAATGTAGTCACACCTTATTTCTCCTCAGAGGAGGAAATGTGAAAAGCAAACACAAGAATAATTTTAAGTAGAGATAAAGACAGCATAATAAGTGAAAGAAAGAGAAAAAAGCTACTGAAAGAAAAGACAACACTTGACACCCTCCACAAGCAGAGCCATGCTTTGCCAGTTTCTGAACAACAGCTACCTGGAAGCCAAAACCACCCCAACTTCCTCTCATGCTATGTCCTCTGAGCATGATGATACAGCATCCTTGGTTAGTGTGTGTCAGCTGTCCTGGCTCTTGCTCACCCTCCCAAGCTCTTGTCCATCTCCAACTTACTGTCTCTCAGGTAGCGTGGGAAAAACAAAAAGCCTTGCACTTATATAAGCACAGTTCAGCAATAGTCAAAACATTCTGTTATCAACAGTTTTTAGCACAGAACCAAACCACAGCACCATATGGACTGCTCTGGAGGAATTATTCCACACTTACAGCACACTCTCCACTTCCAAAGCATCTGG